GGGCTTCTGAGGTCTGAGCTGTGACTGTAGCTTACACGTAGGTTATTAAGACAGTTGTACAGAAACCACCTCCATATCCGAAATAAAATGGAGCTGAACCAGTGTTTCCTGTGGTTTACGTGCTGGTGGATCAAGAGATTTTTTCTTGAATTGTGCCAGTGATAGGGCACCGTGTTACTTTTACATTTCTTTCAATGATGGTTTAAGTAAAACCTTACTGTGTGCTGATCGTACACCCAGGGCTGTACTGTAAATACTTCAATTCCCATAAAAGTCACAAAAGATATTTTATTTATTGTTATATCAGTTGTAGATATCAGTAGGTTTTATGAGATTAAACTGTGTACTTCAGGTCACAGTCAGCATGACATAGACATGAGAGAGTGAGCAGTGCTGACCTTAGCTGGGTGCTACTTCTGGGACTGTTGACTGTTACACTCTGTGTTCTTGTTCCAGCTTACTTGGAGACAAGTAGGAAGTGAGCAATTTAAATTAATTAATTGATTAATTAATTAATTTCAAAGCAGGATCTCAGTATGCAGTGCATGCTGTCCTTGAGTTCACTTATATAGCCCACGCTGGTCTCCAATTCACTGCAATCCTCCTGCCTCAGCCTCCCCAGTGCTGCAATTACAGGTGTGTGCCACCATGCCTGGTGAAAATGAGATTTTTGAGGAAGCAGGAAAGGACAGAATGAAGCTAATAGCAGCACAGCTCATTGGTCAGCTAGAGCACTTCAAAGTTCTCTTATGTGGGAATTCTCGCTCCAGCATGGTTGGACCTGCGTCCTAGGATAAAACCAGAAGGCCTGTCCTTGGAATTTATTCTTGGGGACCCATGGTTTACCCAGATATTCATGGACTCTCTGTGTATTAGTGGAATTGTGTCTGTGCTATTGGTGGTACTGAGGGGAAAGGGAATTGGTGAGGATATCAATCACAGTTGCTGTGAAGCTGTGTAAAACAACAGAAATGCTGAGGGGTGAACAAGACTCGTCACTAGCATATACAAATTCCTCAGATAGCAACTTGCTAATTCGCATACATCCATCCTTCTGGGGGTGACCAACAGTGAGTGATTGGTGTGGACACCGAGGACTGTTGAATAGTGCACACCCGAACCAGGCAGCTAGGTGGTAGAGTCCTTGTGAGCCAGTGACTAGGCTGAAGACAGTGGGCATTGAGGGGTTCAGTGCAGGAACTGCAGTGTCGCTCTTTGGCAGGGGTGTCCATCGTCCTCTAAGAAAATGCAGTGTCCTTGAGCACGGTGGCAGCACGACCTGTGCAAGGAAGCGGATTCATCAGCGCTTCAGATTGCCTGGAATGGTCTTTATGCCAACAATAGTAGGTCATAGAGTAACTGAGTTGTGGAATGAGCCACCCCCCTCCGGACAGGCTATGAGCTCACAGCACATCCATTCACAGGCTTTGCTGCCAGCCTCCCTGTAACTGCTCTCTCGGCCCTTGGAGAACAAACACATTTTCTGCAGAAGTGAAAACGGGTTTGGCCCACATTCGCTCCTAGCTTTTTAGCATGGCACAGAAATGTTTCAAGAATTTCATTCTCAGCCATGCAACTTGGAGATCGGCCATCACCATGGTGTTAATAAGCTACTCTCTTGGTGACAATAATGTCGGAATCATAGCCCATAAATTGAATAATTACTCAAACTCAGTGGCTTAATAAAGTAAGGCAGAGTGAATAACTTATATGGGAGAATTTGTATGTAAATATCCTGTTTAGGATTAATGCCAATTAAGTATATATGGTATATGCAAATGCATATCATTTGTGTTCTCATTAAAACAATGTTAATAAAAATAATTAAAGATATGGATGAACTTTGTTAATAATCTTCCATAATCTTTTAATTATTGATCTACTCAAAAGTCTATGTCATACAAAAAATGTAAAAAACACTTTTATGGATAGGGATACTTTCAGAGTTGATTACATTCTCTCAGCTTTTTTGAACTTGTTACTTTCTTTGAATTTTGCTATATTTAATAATGTCTTGAGGTGATGTCATGAACCTTGTACACCCTAAAACATTTCAGTTGCCCATAAAAAGAGGAATAAATATGCATCCATATTCATTTTTATAGAATAGTACATTCAGGGCTGGTTGTGGTTATCTGTGTTTGTTTGGACCTTTATATTCCTGTTGCTAGTGACCTTTGAGCCTAAGTGGATCTGGGAGGGAAGATATAAATTATAGATAGTTCAATAACTCAATGTTACTTTTAGGATCTATTTACCATGTAGTTATTTCTGCTTTTTACATCCAATTATCTGAAGTTACAAGGATAGTGCCTTATTAAAAATTATAAACTAAAAACTGATAATGATTCATTCATTTCTACATTATTTCATACTACATTAAGTATTCTATTATGATAGTCACACTAAAGGGAAAAATAGTTTAAACAGCATACCAATGTTTGTGGCATTAAAATCAAGGAGAAAGATCTATTGTATATTTTTATAAGGGGAAGTGACACTTTGAAAGAAGTAAAAAGCTTTGGAGTTCAGAGAAAGACAGTTTCCTTTGATCAAACTTTTACATATATAATCACACATAAATAGTTATGAATATATATTAAATGTGTAGAAAATATCCAAAAAGATTCACATTAGGTTAATTACATAGTTCCTAACACTAGGATAAACCTTCCTTGTCAGTCACAGTTTAAGAACCTAAGCAGTGGATGCTGTTTCAATAGAAGGGGATTGACTTTGGCCCGAGCTTCACAGCTTTTACCTGGAGAGGAAAACAAACACTAAAGGCTCAATCAACAAATACGTACTAGGGAAATAGAGTGGGGAAAAATAATGACACATCTGTGTGAAAAACAATGTTACTGACATTTCAGAGGAAAAAAGGTTAAGATTAGGCAATGCTATTGCTGGGTTCTTCTTGCTCTTTCTGCGTACATGGCATGTTTGTTTCCCTTTGATTTGTGAGACTGAGGGTGAAGTGATTGAGGAACAGTGACAATAATCTTATTGGATGAGTGAATCATCTACCTAAGGACACTAGGTAGTAACTTGGGACCTGGAGATGTTTCTGTCAGGAAATTTTATCTTGGCTCATTTTCATTTTAAACTCAGCGACATTTAGCATTGTGGGAGTGCACTGCAGAAGTGGTCTGAAACCATTTCTTTTTCTGTGGCACTTTTGAATTTTGGATTAGTCTCCACTCTGTGCTCAGCCAGCCACTATGGTGGGAGGTTGATTTAGGGGTACATTTTCTGGTCCTGAGCTTTTCAGTTGAATCAGTGCAAGTATTTTCACTTTTCCAAGTGTCATTATTGCAGTGGCCAGACACAAGCTGCGACACTGTTGGTGGATGAGTAATTTGAGTTTCTCTAAGTGAAGCCTTAGAAATATCCTTCATTTCTCTCTTGAGAGAGGAAGTCTTTATCAGAATCCACATTTTTTGCCTTGCATATCAAATTTTGTGAACATTAACTATTTTTTGGATAATTCTCTTCCTTTGCTTTAACGAAAGCTTCACCATTCTTTCAGAAAATGTGGTCCTGATGATACCCCTCACACCCAAATTGTTCATGTACCTTTGTATTGGAATTTTTCTGAAAATGTATGTGTTTTAGTTACTTTCTCCTTGCTGAGACGCAATACTCGACACCCACAATTCTAAAGAAGAAAGATGTATTTTGGCTCACATTTATACAGGTTTCAGGTTCATAGTTTCAGCTAGCTCCAAGGAAAGGCAAAGGCAGTTGGTCATGACCAAGGAGGCATGGCATGGCAGCAGGGAGGAGAGAGAGAGAACCAGGGAGAAGAGGGGCAGATACAACTTTCTGGGCTGCACCACCAGTGATCCACATCCTCTGACCAGGACTTACCTCCCAACAACACATTTAGCTATACACTCGTAAGTGGACAAATCCACTGGTGAGTGTCATGCCCTCATGATCCAATGACATCTAAAAAACCCCACCTATGAGCCCATGAGGCTTTACAGGAACATATAGAGATAAACCATAACATGGTGGTATTGGGAATGCGTGCCTAATGGCCAAGAAAATATTATTTTCAAATACTTTTAAACCTTTCTACTATTCAAAAATTTGAAGTTTTTAAATAAAATATTATTCAGGAGTTTATTTCTTCCAGTTATTTGGTTGCTTTCACTCAAGAAGAACTTTTATAAATTTATACATATTGTCAATTTCCTGTAGACATATTGTACTTAAAATGTACTATTGCATGTATCACTGCTGATTTTGATGAGGTCTTTGTATGTATCTCTCACCTACTTTACTTTTCTCGGTCTCTCTATATCTTTATTCTACTTTCTTATTCTCACACTTGTTTCTCACATACTCAACAAATATTTTTAAACCTTTTATGTTTAAGTGGCTTGACACTTTTTCATGTCAGTGAATGATACAAATGTTGTGGAAATAAGTATGATTTGCAACCTCAGTGTCTTAGTTTACTTTCTCATTTATGGGATAAAATACCCAACATTGACAGAGCAAAGGAGGAAAGGTTTATTTTAGCTCAAAGTTTGTAGAGGTTCCCGTCCATGGTTGGCTGGACCCAAGGCAGGGGGACATGACAGAGGCGCCTGGCAGAGGAGGAATAGTCCCTGGCATGAGACGCAGGAAAACCCAGCAGCCTCTTTCTGTTTCCTTATATTCCATCCGGGCTACAAGTCTTTGGTTGGTGCCACCAGACCCAGTTTGGGGCTTCCCTCTTTGGTGAATCCACTCAACCACACACAGAACTGTGCTAATTGAGTTAGGGGACCAGTCCAGATATCACACCCCCTTAATCCATATCCACACACACTGGATACAACCACCTCTGAAAATCCCCACCTATGAACATATGAGGGTTTTGGGGGGACATGTAGATACAAGCCATAACAGTCAATTATTTAGAGTTGGCTCATGACTGCTTAAAACTTTTAAACTTCTTCAGCTGTTTTGGAAACTTTTGCCTTGCAAATGTATCATATGTTTTTCAGATGAAGAATGATCCTGAAATAAAAAATAAAATCAAAATACAAGCATTACTGTACCCTGGCTTACAGATGATCGATACTTATTTGCCATCTCATCGAGAAAATGAGCATGGTATAGTTCTGACAAGGGACATAACCATAAAACTTGTGAGTTTATATTTCACCAAGGATGAAGCACTTCCTCAGGCAATGAGAAAAAATCAACACATGCCTCTGGAATCCAGACATCTGTTTAAGTTTGTTAACTGGAGCACTCTTCTTCCTGAGAAGTTCAGAAAGGACCATGTTTACACTGAACCAGTTCTTGGAAGATCCACTTACTCATTTCCAGCACTTATGGATAACAGAGCATCACCTTTGTTGGCTAATGATTCCCAGTTACAGAATTTGCCACTGACTTACATCCTTACCTGTCAATATGATATCCTCAGAGATGATGGACTTATGTATGTTTCAAGACTTCGAAATGTTGGAGTTCAAGTAGTTCATGAGCATATTGAGGATGGAATCCATGGGGCTTTATCATACATGACAGCACCACTTTATTTACATGTAGGTCTTAGGATAAAAGATATGTATATTAATTGGCTGGATAAGAATTTATAAGTGTATAATGTATATATCAGAAAATTTTAGTTTGTGACACTTTGTACTTGTTGTGAAAAGAATGAAGTAGTTTCTGTTGAGTCCAGGTATGACAATTATTTTGTGTCTTTAAACTAGTCACTAAATGTTATGATTTATGGACATTACATATATTAAAATGTGATTCAATCTATTTTCTCCTTACTTTTAATGTATTGTGCCAGTCCAAAAGTACTAATGTTTATCAAATTTTAGAAATAAAAATTTCTCAAATCAGGGAAGATGGTGTCCAGATAAGCACAGTAAGTGTAGATGTGAAAGTGCAGAGAGATTGCAAGGAAAAACAAATTGCTCCTAGAATGGAATGGAAACTGTTAGACTACATGAATTGTAAGGGCCTTGTATTAGTTTCCTTTTACGTAACAAATTACCAACAAAATAAAACTGTTGTCTCAAAATGAAAGCAACTTGTTCTGTTAGTGTTCTGTGAATCTACAGTGCAACAGTAATGCATGTGGGCCAGAGTCAAGACATTGGCAAGAGCCGCACTCCCTCTGAGGGTGCTTGGTTAAGCGCAGTTCTTTCATCTTCTGATGACTGCTGGTTTCCCTGGAATGTAGCAGACATCTGCAAGTCAGTCTCTCCTCCATCTTCACCTGGCGTTCTATTCCACCTGTGTCAGTTTTCCCTCAGTCTCCCAATTAAAAACATGCACATGCTTTTAATTTAGGGTTCACCTAAATCATCCAGGTTAATTGCTGCATTTCAAGGTCCTTAATTTGCAAATACTCTCCTCAGTTTTCAACAGAAGTTGACATACTCTATGATTAGGATGTAGATATCTTTTTGAGGCCATTTTTAGGAAATATTGTCAATAATTTTTTTTTAAAGCAGATCAGCCTTATAATATAAAAATCTATTCTAAATGTTTCCTTGATAATGAAGTAATGTGAGTATGGAGTGTGAAAAACTTTTCCAAAACCCTCTCAATTTTCTCATTTCAAAACTTGCCCCAAATAAATGACTTCTGTGGTCCTTGTGTTGAGCAGAACCATAAAAAGGTTAAAGATTTATTCATGTAAACATAAACCTGATGTACAGTACCATTAATCTCCATAACCAGTTGAATCAAATTAAGAAACATAGTAAGAAATGTGTGTGTGTTTGAAAATATCCAAATCAGTTGACCCAAGAGCAGCTGAAATGTCTAGCTTTTTCAGTAGACTTGAGATACTGTTGTCAAACTTCCATTTCAGAGAATGCAATTAAAATGTACAATTTCAACAGTCCACAAACCAACTAACATATTAAGGTACAGGAAGAAACTAATTATGTTCATATAGCTATTTTGTTTTAGCTCGATTCCATTACCCCAATGATAGAAACTATCACGACTTCCATGACTATCATAGATGAACATAAAATAAATTTCACTGAAGCAGTTGTTTTCCTCACAAACCTATATGAAATGTATATGGGAATTTGACATCATGGGCCCCAACAAGATGCAGCTGTCATACTTCTGATCCAATTTCTTCTAAACTTTTTTAAAAACATATTTTGTTATCATAAATGTTCATGGTGTTTAGTCTGATTCTTTTCTTTTTCATTACTTAGTATAGTAGGTCCTAAGTCTATGATAGGAAAAAGCCCTGGAACTGTCATTATGAGTGCAGAAAATGGGTAGCAGAAATTGCTAATGTGCAGCAAACTGTAGAAAATGTAGCTCTTTTAAAGGACATTTTATTGCCTGTCCTATTGTCTGAATACTTTCACAATTATTCTAAACTAAACCTCCCTCAAACATTGTAAACAACAATATATAATGTCACTAATATGTAGCTTTATATCCTTGAGCATCCCTGTACCATCACAGCTAGACATTCCATTTTCTTGTTCTTTTCTACCTATGTTGACCAGTTTATGATTTGTTTCCACATTTCTTTTCTTTCTCTAAGAGAAACAGTGTTTTGGAGCTTGAGAATAAGGATATTCTCTGGGTACCAAGGAAAGGGTATGTATAGCCTTGTGTCTTAGGCCAACCCTTGGTGATCCATATCTGTAATCTAACTTTATAATGCCTGGGACATTATATAAAATAAATCCTGACATCAGCTATCCAAATTCCTGTGAGTCATCTTGACTGCTTTTGTAATCTACTCTCTGAATGCTGGAAACACATATGGTGAAAATTTCTGAGATATGTGCCCAACAGTTAAGAAAAAAATATTAATTCCCAAATTATCTCCTATTCTAAGGGAAATTTGTTGGCTTTTCTCTTCAACTATCTATTACAACTTTGCATTAGTTGCTATACTTGCCATAAAAAGTACTACAAATTTAGGGGCCTAACCTATGGGAATTTATTTTCTCCTGGTTTTAGGGGTTAGAAGCCTGAAATCAAGGTGTCTACAGGATCTTAGTCCCTCTGAAGGAGAAATCTGTTCCAGGTGTTATGCATAATGGCAGAACAACTCTAGTCTTTTCACATTGTTCCTGTATGTTCTGTCCAAGTTTCTCCCATGTGTGAAAACACTAGTCATATCAAATTAGGGCCCACCCTGATATTCACATTTTAATATGACTGCCAATGTGAAGACATATAAGGTTGGAATATAAGAACACATTCTCAAGTACTGTGTGTATGTGAGGGTGGGTTAGGACTAGATTTTTTTATAGATGTGGAACAAAAATAACACCTGGAGCACATCATGTGATCCAATGTCTTAAAAGTAAAAACATTTTTCTGCTTTGTTAATGTTCTGAAAAGCCCTCAATTTTCCATCCATTCATTGCTTTTTGGAGCAGGATATCAGCAACTACTGAGCATCCAGTGAATAAACTAGAACTCATACCAGAGCCTTCCTTGAGCTAAAAAGCATGCACTAGACTCCTACCCACTGTTCTCTTGTGGTCTGATGCTCTTCTACACTGACTGTCTCATGTGAGAAAGTGATTGCTTGTCCTTAAGACAGAACAGCTCCTTTTCAATCTGTCCCTCCTCAGTTCTGAGTTTTGTTCTATTTCAATAATGTGAACATGTACTTTTAATTTTTTTCACATAGTGCTCTAGCAGTCTTTCCAAAAGATCTCTCACTGACCTCATCTACCAGAACAATAGCTTTTCACATGTACTAAGGTGAGCAATCTGTGACATTATGGACAGTCTTAAGAAGTGTATTCCAAGCCTTATTGCTCAGTGTAATCATACTTGTCCAAAGATTACCAGGGAACACCTTTGTTTGCCACCAACCCCAGAGTAGTCTTATCTTTTTTTTTCTATAACATTTGTTACATTTACTAAATTACTTAACGTAGTGCATGCCTAAGACTTTCTGTAGCTGAGGTGGATAGGTCCACCTTGCAATGTGCAAAATTTCTCAAGGTACTTTTTTTTTTGTTGTTTGGTTTTTTTTTTTTTTTCCTCCGGTACTGGGAACCGAACTCATGACCTTGCGCTTGCCAGGCAGGCGCTTTTGCCACTGAGCTAAGTCCCCAGCCCCTCTCAAGGTACTTTAAAGCAAGTTCAAAACTTATATGCATATGATGCCCTGCCCTGCTCCTTTGGGACAGGGAAGTAGCTCGGGAGTGGCCCCAGGCTCTCTGGACCTCTCTGTTGGGAGGTGAGACCACCCACCCTCTACCTGAGGAACCCAGAACATTGGCCCCTGACTGGCCACCATCAGGTTCATGGCTGAGGCCCACACACTTCCCATTGACAGCCTGGAGACCCTGGTACTGAAAGCCAGCATTCCCCGACCATCGCAGGTTTGTTCTGAGCCATGCACCACACCAACTGCTTGGGGATCCCGGGCCCAGTGGTCAACTGTCCTCTACCACCTTGGAATAAGTCTGATATCTAGGTAAACTAAGGTCCCTAGAGACCTTTGATGAGCTGCCTGGGTAGTGTGTGGCCTAGCACTTTCCATCTGACATCCAAAATGACAAGATGTAGGAGCAAAATGCAACCTCAGAACTCAGATCCACTCAGAACATGTCCAGGAGACACTGACATAGGAGAACTTGGAAGTCACATACCTGAAATCCCGAAATGATTGCAACTGAAGTAATGAAACATCTCCAACAGTCCATAGAAGAAATCAGATCAGAAATAACCACCCAAGTAAAAATAGAAATGACAGCAACAATGAAAGAACTGCTCAGCACATGTAAAGAGAACATATACAAAAAAATAGATGAGCATAGGAAAAGGATAGAAACATTAAGTGAACAATACAGGTCAGAATTAGAATGCATGAAACAGATTCAAACAGATATCCAGGAATTCAAAACTTCCACTGAAAGCTGGCAGAACCGCTTGAATGAAGGTGAAGATAGAATCTTAGATAATGAAGATAGCATGGCAGCTAACGATCATGAAAAGAAGGATCTCTTAAAATCAACAAGGATCCAGGAAAAATCAATTCAACAGCTGCAAGACGAGGCAAAGAGAAATAATGTAAGACTAATAGGAGTCAATGAAACATCAGGAGGCAACATAAATGACATAAAAAGGATATTTGCAGAAATAATAGCAGAAAACTACCCAAGCATGGAAAAAGATTGTGATGTACAGGTAAATGAGGCATATAGAAACCCAACTAGCCATAGCCAAAATAAAACCACACCCAGATATACAATAATCAAGATTCCAGATATGCAAAATAACAGAATATTAAAAGCTACTAGTGAAAAGAAACAGATCACCTATAAAGAAAAGCCCATCAGAATCATGGCAGATTTCTCAGCACAAACCATTCAATCAAGAAGAGCTTGGAGTGAGGTATTACAGGTCCTGAGACAAAATAGGTTCCAACAAGATTGATGCATCTTGCCAAACTTTCCTTCAAATTCAATGGAGAAATAAAATATTTCCACAGCAAAGAACAACAGAAGAACTTCATGAGTGCCAAACTAATCTTACAAAGAGTACTAAAAGATATTCTAGACAGAGAAAAAGTGACTACAATCTCAAGAACAGCAATGCAAAGGAACCCTCAAGTAGAGCAAGCAATTAAACAGATAGCAAAAGTATGAAACCAACAGCAAGTAAATAACATGGCAAAGATAAGCCAACATATATCAGTTATAATCATTAATGTAAATGGCCTCAATTCACCAATCAAAAGAAACAGACTGGCAATGTGAATTAAGAAACAAAATCCCACAATATGCTGTATACAAGAAACACACTTTACTTAAAAGAAAATCCACAGAATTAAAGTCAAAGGTTGGAAAACAATTCTCCATGAAACAGGAACCCAGAAAAAAGCAGGGGCAGCTATTATGTTTGCAGACAATGTCAACTTCAAAACCAAATACAATCAAAAGAGATAAAGAAGGTCACTACATATTACTTAGGGGTAAACTGCAAGAGGAAGAGATAACAATTAAAAAACACGTATGCACCAAATATAGGAACAACAAACTATATGCAATAAACCTCAACAGAAGTGAAAAACC